CTGGGGCCCTCTGGTCTCCACAAATCCTTCTGACGACAGACACCTAACCTAACCTAGGAAAGTCTTTTCACACGCGGGACTGACATAAAATTTAGTCTGTGAAGGGTCGGAGCTGCACTTCGAAAAAACCATCTCCTTTGTGGTTTCACGTTGGAAGCTGGAACTTGCATGAAAAGATCCCGTTAGAAATCAGCAGTCGTCACCGACAACTCAAAGCCTCGCGCTTGCAAAACCAAAAATCGAACGAAAATAATTTTGCTGGCTACATTCCTCCTGGACGTCTTTCGACGCCCGACGCCTCTGTTGGCGATTCAAACAAAAATCCCTCCGCCTTGTCGTCCACTCGGCCAGCTGACACAGAGCGGAAACTTTGAAACCTCTGCTTCATGCTGACCTCTGACCTCTGGCCTCTGCCCAGCGCGAGAGGGGACGAAGCGATGACAACGCAGTTATACAGAGGGTTCTACGGCAAGAGGAACAAACGGCTTCTTGGACGCTTCGTGTTTGAGACACGGCCGATTTTAATAAGAACCCAGAAGACCGGATCCCGAAATGGAAAGCGCTTGTTTACAAACAGCTGATTCCGGTGTTACTGAAACAAAAACAACTCAAAGTACGGTCCTTGCGTCTTTTCTCTACCGAAGGGCAGCATCGGATATTCTCCGTCAGAACGCAGGTTGCCGACCTCTGTGTTGCATTTCAAAATGGCCCCAGACATAAAATTCCTGCGGAACGAAGTCACGGGCAACGGCTCGTGGCGTTTCTTTGGAAACAAACATCCGAGATTTATTCATGCATCATGCAGAAATTTTACTGGACTATATTGTGGCCCGCAGAAGGCCTGGAGTTCGACACTAGACTCCTCCTCGTTCGAGGCCACGGAAGTATCTCGCGCAGGCAAAGCAGCAGTGCGCATGCGCAATACGTAAGCGTAAGCATTCGGCAAACATGCAACCACACAGACAGAGAGCATTCGGTCAATACCTACTTGCAGCTCCCTCCAAATCCTAAGGCCCGTCTAGAACAGAGAGGACACAAAGAACTTCAGACACAAACGACTGAGCGTGCGTGCTACATGCGTTCATTCATCTCCAATCACACTTAATTCAATTCGGTCCTTTGTAAAAAGAATAATTTCCTTCTTTATTACAGAATTCGTGCATTTGCAGTGGCAGTTTTTAAAACGACGACTTCATACGGAACACGTGACAGGGTTTTTGAGACGATCAACGCATTTTGAGGACTTTCGTCTTCGTCGTCAGTTTCGGGCGGAGGAAAATCCCCGCGGCGTAGTCCAAAACTTCGCCACGTGCAACGAAAACGGCGCTGCGATAGGTCGTGGAGCTTAAACAACGGGCGAGGGTAAGAGGAAAGACGCACAAACCACGCCTCCGCATGGGACAGGAAGGAGACGCGACTCAGCGAAAACGCGACTTCATATAAGCGTTTATTCGCTGTTGAAGCCGACATCATTTTTGCGAGGGGATTCGAGTTCTGGGCGACTGGTGGCTTAACTAAGACACGCTCATTCCCTTGGCTTCACGCCCCGGCCGCCTTAACTCCGGCGCCCTCCGCGTAAGGGGCCGAGTGGGCCCGAAAGTCAACTTGGAAAAAGAACTGAACCGGGCACGACGGCAACTGCGTGCAAAATACGAAGGAAGCGGAAGACTTGAGGAGTCGAGTGAGTTTAGGTCGAATGGCGGGTCGACTTATCGACCAGCTAAAATCGACCCTTCGCTTCTCACGTTCTCTGCCCCAGGAAGTGAGTGTTTCAGTTAATTTTATTTGGGGCTTTCAAGGAGAAATGTACCCGATTTTGCAAGTATAATTATTCGTTCGTTCTCATTACGATTTCTACAACCGACTTGAATTCATCCGCACAATTTTTAAAGCGGTTTTTTTTCAAAACGTGCCACGTGTCCATTATCTAAACGAGATTTATGCTATGAATTTATGTTTCTATGTGCTAACTAACGGACGTTCTACTTCTCGATGGCCAGAAATTCATTGCTGCTTATATCAGCGCCAACACGTGTTTGTCATTGCACTCTGTTCAATAATAAAAGTAACGAAAAATGTGTGTCTCGCGATGACACAGTATTCTTCAGTGTTCTAAATAATGTCTTTGCTTCATGCAAGGTCGAGTACATTTAGTAAGAACTGCATCCGCCGGCGAATATGAGGCGCAGATTTCGAGAATAAAATTCAATCGAAGTCTTCTCACCCGGAGCGAAAAGCATTTAATCCGGCAGTTATTGAAGAGCCGGGCTGAGGGTGGAAACTGGCACAACCTAATGAGGGGCAAACGCCCGCTCCGGCCCCGTTCGCATGACAGCGAGAATCCGCTGTCCCAGTGACTTAACCGCACACCACATCTGCTCCTCACACACATCGCCGTCGGCCTACTTGCCAGACCACAGTCCCGCGGAGAAGCTGACAGTCGCTGCGGTAGTCAAAATCCACTAACCTAATAACACCGCAGTTTTCCTTAACAAAATCAGTCATTCGTGGTTTTCTCTGGGCCACCCTTGAATGCGGTCCTCGACTCACCGCTGCCATCCACGTGCATCCCCCGAGCGCGCGCGCGCGCGTTTTCTGACGCCACGCAAATGGCGCTTCGAGGCTGAGGTCCGCGAGGTAAGACGTGCAACACATTTAGGAAAATAATTGGGAAAGCGATGTTTGAATAACAAACAGTATTGTTAAGGATGTGGATTTCTGTCTGCTTTGTGTGTTAAAGATTGCTCAACCTCGTCTCCTCATAAAGACAGCTTTCGTCTGTCACCTGCGTAAATAACATCTTTATTCATCATCTTCGACGCTGAACACAAGACGACGAAAGCCTCGTTTTAAAAAAGGAAGCTGGCTGAGTCAACATTCGCAGTTTCGTGATCGGGAAACACAAATTCTCTCAGCACGTAACCTACGTGGCTGATACAGGAAACCTCTGCACTCCACCATCGGACGATACCTCGCACGTACAACGCGTAGAAGAGAGTTCCAGCTAGCCTGGCTTCATCTCTCGCGTGTGTTCCCCGGAAAAGAAAAAAAGAAAGAAGGAATATATCGTGGCGAGACAACTCACCCAGTCGGAGAACTGGAGCTTGTCGAGATCCGTCGAGGCCTCCGCCTTCGCCCGTAGCTCGTGCGTCCCCTGGGAGACTCTCTCGAGGAAAGACGACAGTTCGAGCGCCTCGGCGACCAGCGCCCTGCACACGGCTCGGTAGTGCGCGTCGGCTTGTTGGGGCGTCGGGGCTCCGAGGTGGTTACAACAGCGCTGCAGGCACAACAAATTGCAATCGAAACACCAGCAAACGCTCGTCTCTCAAGTCGGATTTCTTGCATGTCTACGGCAAGGAAACACGACGACTTTCCTAGAAATACAAACTGTAACACGTTAACTGACCACGACACGGAATCGAGGTCTTCTTTTGAAGACGCCTGTCTTCTGGGGTGTCTGTAGCGCCGTGTACTAACTTTTCGGAGGTCCTTACTGCTTCCGTCATCAGGGCGACGACGATGGAGGCAGCAAGGACCTCTACCAGAATACACGGCGCTACAACCCAGAAGACGGACATCTTCAGACCGTCCGCCGTGAAAACAAAAAAAACTCTACAAGGCCTTTTTTACCAAATAAAAAGACCACCTAAGTCCCGGGTAAGAGAAGATAGACTTAAAAAAATCAAGCAAACTGAATTAAAATTCTGGGAGTGACTGGAAACTTGTCCCCTAATCAGGAAAATTTATCAATGCATTCCTAGCACAGCGTCCAAATTCTCCTAATGAAAGATACAGCATTCCCATTAGAAAGTTAGAAATCTCGTGGAGGAAAGTGTCGCCCATGTTCATTGATGTTATTCATCACAGCAAGAGAGTGATTTCAAGAACTGTTAAACACGCGTGACGGTTAGTGTACCGTCGAAGAACTCTTACTTCGTCTGCTGTGTTCTTATTACAATATTCGACGGAACCACGAAGTCGGCCATCTCTGGGTCCCTGCGGCGTGCAGTCTGGTTGAAATCTGCCGACGTTTCAGGGGCGGTTGCTGCTGCAGGAGACATACTCGGCGCCCGGAGAAACTGGAACCAGCCAGGGTCATTTCCCCCTCTTCCAAG